GGAGGCGAGGCGGTCAAAAAGGGTCTCTCTCTCTCTCTCTCCCTTTCTACTCCTCCTCGTCAATTTCATGGAAAGCTGCGCCCGTGCGTCACAGCCGCCCACCTTTTTTTCCCCCGTGTGATGCGGATTAACAAATCTGGATTAACTCCCTTTCTGGCCATTCGGATTAACAAATCCAGATTAACTCCCTTTCTGGCCCCTGGAGGCCTTCCTTTCCTTTCCTCTTTTCCTTTCCCACAATTTCTTACTTTTTAGGCTTGTTTGTTGGATTGGGTGTGTGACCGCCTTCCAGGGCCACCCCAAGAAGCAAACCTGGGTTGGTTCTAAAGCGAATTGGAAGCAAGGGAAACCCCCCCCCCCATCATCCACCAGATGGGTTTTCTATGGGCGTGGAATGCGGGGCTTACTCTCTGCATGGAGGGCAGTGCGGGAGAGTGGTTAATTTTTAAAAAAATTGATTTATACCCCACCCATCTGGTCTAAAAGATTAAAATTTAATTACAAATCTGGATTTAGGACTTAAAAAAGCAAAGGTTCAACCCCTACTGCCAGGCCTGACCTTGACCAAGCTAACTACCTCTTCAAGGGAAATGACCTCCAAAGATCGCGTGAAGGGCAGTGCGGGAGAGTGGTTAAAAATCTGGATTTAGGGCTAAAAAGAGCAAAGGTTCAACCCCTACTGCCAGGCTTGACCTTGACCGAGCTAACAACCTCTTCAAGGGAAATGACCTCCAAAGAGGGTCAGTGAGGACCCAGATACAGGAGGACCAAGGTCTCTTTCCTTTAGAATGAATTAAAAGAATGCAAGAAAAATGGACCGAGGACCAATAAAAGCCACACTTGACGCAGGGCATGTTTTGAACATTGTATGGAATCAGAAACGACCCTCCGTGAAAAATGTGTGGAAACACCTATTTGCCATTCAGTTTTATCGTCATGTTTGGGGCCTAGGACTCCATGTGGCACAATCCAAGGTGGCGCACAAACAATACAGGGAGCATCATCACCACCACCACCCAAAAAATGATCCCTCTTTACCCATTTATTCAATAATAAATCCCATCTTGTTTAAAAGGGCCAACATGAGGAGTAATGGGCTTTCTTTATATAGGCACCCAAATTTAGGCACCAAAATCTAGAGTTGGGTGTACTGAACGTTAGGAAAATAAGTAGCAACACCTCCTGACTCTTATTGACCTTCCTTTAAAAAAAGGGAGGGGGGATACATTTTCTTTTTGAGGGGAGGACAGTCTCCCCTGTGCAATGTATTCTGGGTAATCACCGCCGTGTGTTTTTAAAAGTTTGGTTTCAGTTGGTTTTATAAGATAAGGAAAGATTTTCCATCCTTCAGACACCGGAATATGGCTCGCCTGGGAGAAAGGCCTAGACTGAAAAGACTTTGAGGCCTAGCTTTCTGTTTAGAAAGCTCCCATCTAGCACTGAGTTAGGAATGAGAACGTTAGGCCGTGTTATGCCTAAACCCTGCAGTTCAGGCCCTTGTCTGTGTGAGCCAAATTTCTGCAAAGGTAGAACTTTCAGAATGGAGAACCGAGGGATTTTTTTGTCTAAAAATTTTGATAAATCCCACCGTAGTGACATCCATACTGTGTGTGGTAGGACAGTAGAAGAGTCGTGTCGGACTCTTGGTGACCCCATGGACTAGAGAGCACGCCAGGCCCTTCTGTCTTCCACGGCCTCCCGGAGTTGGGTCAAATTCATGTTGGTCGCTTCGATGACCCTGTCCAGCCATCTCATCCTCTGTCGTCCCCTTCTCCTCCTCCCTTCACACTTTCCCAACATCAGGGTCTTTTCCAGGGAGTCTTCTCTTCTCATGAGATGGCCAAAGGATTGGAGCCTCAGCTTCAGGATCTGTCCTTCCAGTGAGCACTCAGGGTTGATTCCCTTCAAAATGGATAGGTTTGTCATCCATGCAGTCCAGGGGACTCTCAAGAGTCTCCTCCAGCACCACAATTTGAAAGCATCCATTCTTCCGCGGTCAGTCTTCTTTATGGTCCAGCTCTCACTTCTGTACATTGCTTCCGGAAAAAGCCTAATAAAACGCTTCTGTTGCAAGGCTGGGGGAGTGGGACAGAGAAAAACCCTACCAGGATTTGCAAGGAAGCAACACACACAGCTCTTAAGTTTTTACACTAGTTTTATTATGACCAAACCTAGAAAAAAAAACCTTGGCAAGTATTTCCTGAGAGAGCAACGTTTTACACCCCATTTGCTTCCTGGTAAGGAAATGAGCCGAAGGGTGGGGGGGGAGGGAAGGGGGTTATGTCAATCAAGTATTTGGTTGGCGATGATCCAAAACGACCACATACAACGCTTGAAGAGGGGCTGTTTTTGGAGGAATGGCGACCTCAGACCTGAGTAAACGGACCGGCCAGTGTGAAGAAGGGCTTCCTTCCTGAAAGAGCTAAGAAAAAGTGTTGTTAAGGTTGTTTCTGATTATGGCCGCTACAGCTTCCATGGCCAATGATGGATGCCTTGGGAAGACTGGAAATTGTAATATGCAAAAATAAGATTATTTCCCCAAAATATAATGGGATGAACTAACCATCTCAGCAAGGGGCTCATTTCTCTCCTTCCCTCTCCATCTGGGGCTCTTTAAGGATGCTCATGTCTGTCGTCCACGTTGTGCATTTACACTGACCCCTTACCTCTGTTTTCCATTTTTATCCTTTCCTGGCTCAGCGTTCTTGGCTTCCTCCCCTCTGTTCTGGATTCCTTTGCTTCCTTTCATATCCCCCCCCCTTTTTTTGGCATCTGTTAGCTTCCAACCCTTAATTTTTTTCCCCCGCTGTGACGATCTGACAATTTTCTTCTTCCTCTCCTTTCCTTCTTCCAGCTGTTATTGCAGAAATCTTTGCTTAAAAAAGAGGATATTTCCCCTTCATCCTGCTTTTTTTCCTCGAGACTTTTAATGGGAGGACAGGAGGAAAAGGGGGTTGTGTCCGGAAAGGCAGTGGGGGGGGGCACCGTATTCGACACAAGTTTAATTCATCCCTGAAGCTGACCATCCATCATCATCCTCTGGTGAAATGGTGCTGGATCGCTAATACTGAAGAGGGAACCATTGTGAGAATCTGTTGTTGCCGAGGGAACCTAGATGGGAAGGGACAGAGCACAGCAAAGTGTCATGTGGGGTAAAAGGGCGAGGGTCAGGCCGGGTATTTGGTGAGGAGAAAAGCCACAGGTTAGAAGTTGCAGGTGCAAAGGTCAGGGGTGAAGCAGGTGAAGGTTGGATGCTTGGAAGATGATTCTGACCTTTTTTGTTTAGGAGAGAAGACAGGTTCCCAGCCTTGAGTAAACCTGGTGTGTTCTTGGACTACAATTCCCAGCAGTCTTGACCGCAAGCCGGGGCTTCTGGGAATTGCAGTCCAAGAACACCCAGGTTGGCCAAGGTTGGCAACCACTGCTCTAGGAGAACAGAGCAAAGTTGCCTTCAAGTTGAGCATCCTTAAAAGCTTGCAAAAACAGTTCTGTATGTAGACACTGGATTCCACGGGGTCTAGAGAGAAGTCGCGCTAGGATCTTGAGACAGAGCCCAAGGGAAACGCTGGTGCTGAGACAGTGTGGTCCCCTGAGCATGTTTTTACCCTACGTATTGCCAAAATCCGCAGGACACCACTGCACTCAGAGAGAGGTCCAAAGTGATACGGTTCCTTAGAACGCCAGGAATTCTAGTGCACATCGCAGCCGGGTGGGGCCAGATGTTTGCTGGTGAAGAATCGGAGTCCGCAGAGACCGCAGGATCACGAGGGGGCCAAGGCCCCGAGTAAGGAAGTGAAGGCCAGGGCTTGTCGGGAGAGCTCCACCACACGTTCTCGCATCTCCCGGGCGGCTGGGGGTGACGGGTACTGCAGGGCGGCGCTCTTGATGGACAGAACGGCTGTTTTCAACGCTTGGCACAGGGCGCCACTGGCTGCCCCCACCCTTGAGCGCACCGTAGCCGAGGACGCCAGGCGGGACACGGTGTCCCCCACAAAGACCAGTTTGTGGGCCGTGATGATGACAAATTTGCTGTGGGGTACGAAGACCCGGGGAGGCTGGTGGGCGGCTGCGCTGGCGAGAAGGGCCTCAATGGCCGAAAGCAAGGTGGTGTAATGAGCTTGGCACTGGCCTGTATAGAAATGCAGGAGCTGGCTGTCTTGTGGAGACGGTGGAACCTAAAAGATGAGAAAGGGTTAGGGTTGCAGTATAATCCCCTGTCTGACATTTCCCCCCCTCACTTCTCACTTGGAGAAGGGCCTAACTTGAAGGCTTCATGGCGTGACTTCATGGCCTAGCTCTGTCCGAGCCTTAAGCTAAGTCAGAGCTAGGCCTTTCTCCAGGTGAGTGAAATTTATCCCGGTGAGTGTCTACCATACCGGGTCTGTCAGGTGGAATTCTCAAAATGGAGAATTCTGGGACTTGGGAGCCCCAAAAACCCAAAGGGTACATTGCTAAATGTTTTGCTTCTCTTCTTAAAAAATATGAAAGTAGTATCTTATGTGGCCATGGATAAAGTGTTGGCCTGGTTTGTGGGAAACGCAGGTTCAAAATGTCATCCTTTCACACGACCTGTTGTCCAACCTCAGCCGAGTCTCCTTCTCTGTGGCAGCTCTTTCCTTGATTAAGGCCTACCTCCCAGTGAGGATTAATCCCACCCATTAACAGTGGTTTTCAAGCACAAGGATGGACGACAAGTTGGAGACCTGAATAAAAATAAAAACTAGCAGATACCATTTCTTCAGGCTGAGCACTCTCTGCAGGCAGCGTGAGTTCAGGGCTCCCTTCAGGTGTGGCTGGCTTGTGGTGGATTTTGTCTGCTCCCTAGACAAACAGAGATTGTGGTGTTTGGATTATGGGGTCGTTTTGGAACAAGAGAGAACTCAAAAAAGGACCCAAATGGTTAACTGTGACCGGAGGGGGGGGGAATTGCTCCTGTAAAGTTCAGATTAAGTGAAGCAGCCATAAAAAGACAAATCGGAAATCAGCAACGCTTCTAGTTAGGTGGGAATGAGAGACACATTCCTATCAACTATGATAGGAACCACTATCCTATGAACCAAAATCTGTTGAAGTCTGCATACTAACAATGGTGGAAAGCCAGCGTCGGCAACTCACTGGGAACCAAATATGGCCTCTAAAACAGTTTATAAAGTAGGTAAAAGGTAAAGGTAAAGGTTCCCCTTGACAATTTTTGTCCAGTCGTGTTCGACTCTAGGGGCCGGTCCTCATCCCCGTTTCCAAGCCATAGAGCCAGCGTTTTGTCCGAAGACACTCTTCCGTGGTCACATGGCCAGCGCGACTTACACACGGAACGCTGTTACCTACCCACCGAGGTGGTCCCTATTAATCTACTTGCATTTGCATGCTTTCGAACCGCTAGGCTGGCGGGAGCTGGGACAAGCGACAGGCGCTCACTCCGTTGCGTGGATTCGATCTTACGACTGCTTGGTCTTCTGACCCTGTAGCACAGGCTTCTGTGGTTTAGCCTGCAGCGCCACCACGTCCCTTGTTGTTATAAAGTAGGCAGGGTTTAAAATTAGGCCTACTAATTTTGCAAGGGGGCACCAGACCCCTGTGTAGTACACTGGTTAGAATATTCAACGGTGATGTGGGAGAGATCCAGGTTTTGATGTTCATTGAACTATGAATCCCGTTTGTAACCTAAGGTCATTCTCGCTTTCTCAGCAGGAACTTAATTTGCAGGATTGTGGTGAGGACCAAGGGAAGATGAGGAAAGCCAGCGGCCAAAATCTTGCTGCTTCGTTATGCAGAAGGCATACCTTCTGGAGGTGAATTCCTCACGTTAAGGAATTCCCCTAGATGTTATCTGCAACTCAGTTCTACATAGATTTCTTCGCTTCAGGCAGTGCACCTCCAAAAGTTAAGCCCGTTACGTAACTTAAGCACAGGCATACCTCGGTTTACAAATGCCTCAACTAGACGTTATCTGCAACTCAGATCTACATAGATTTCTTTGCTTCAGGCAATGCACCTCCAAAAGTTAAGCCCGTTGCGTAACTTAAGCACAGGGGTACCTCGGTCTACAAACGCCTCAAGTTAACGTCATTTTCAGTTTACAAAAGAAAATCCAATAACGCCTCGGTTTACGATTTTTTTCCGCAACAGAAAGTTTCTCCAGGATGCATTGCACCTGGGAGCCTTATAGCGCCAACCCCTGTGCATGTGTTCCTATGCATTTTTGGTTTACGTATTTTTCGCATTACGAAACATCCCGGAGATGTGCATGTGTTCCTATGTATTTTCGGTTTACATATTTTTCGCATTACGAAACATCCCGGAGAACGCATTAAATCTGTAAACCGAGGTACGCCTGTAACAGGATTTCAGCCACTTCGTAGAGAGCTGGGAGTTCGATTCCCCCATGGTGCCTCCCCTTGGCAAGTGCTAGGATTCCATGATCCATAGAGTCCCTTCCACCTCTGCAGTTCTAAGAGGATGATGATGATGATGGCTGAGTATATATTTCTGCCTCTGTTACTATGTTGCCGCACTTACCTTGAGATGAACATAGTCGTATTCCTCCGGGAGGCGGATCCCTTCGTATTCGTGTTCGATTCCCCCGTGGTGCCTTCCCTTGGCAAGTGCTAGGATTCCATGATCCATAGAGTCCCTTCCACCTCTGCAGTTCTAAGAGGATGATGATGATGATGGCTGAGTATATATTTCTGCCTCTGTTACTATGTTGCCGCACTTACCTTGAGATGAACATAGTCGTATTCCTCCGGGAGGCGGATCCCTTCGTATTCGTTGTGGCCCTCTTCCCGACCACGCTCTAGCTGCTCTCCCACGCCAAGGCCCCCCAGTCGGGGTGGAGGTGGCGGGAGCGGCCGGTCTTGAATGCTGCCCTTCCGCGCAATACTCGGCGAGGGTGGTGGGGGTTCCACCGAGAGCCGTTCCTCGCTGGGGAGGGCAGGCAGCGGGCGCCGGGACAAGCTTTCGGCGGAAGGGAGCCGTGGTCGGGCTGGGGTGGCCGACTCCCTCAGGGTCAATCCTTGGAGGGTTCCCTCGAGGGGTGGGGAGCCAGGGGCCATGAGAGGAACGTCATAGATGCCCCCGTCCTCCTCCTCCTCGCCCGCTGCTTCCTCTCTGCTTTCCCCAGCCAGCACCTCCTCGGGCGACTCGTACAAGTTGAGCAAGGCTGAGGCGCGGCGTAAATTGGAAGGGATGGCATAAACGAGGGGGCTCCCGGTTCCTCCTCCTCCTTCCTCCTCCTCTTCCTCCTTCTCCTCCTCTTCTTCTCCGTCTTGGCCCAGGGATTTCTTGAAGGCGAGCGGGACATCGTAAGGGTCGTCTGAAGTTGGAGGAGCCGTAGGCTGAGGAGCGACGCGGGCTACCTTCTTTGGACATGAAGAAGGCGAGTCGTAGGTGTCAGAAAGAGTGTCCTTCAGCACCGAGGAAGGGATGTCGTAAACCTGTCGGTGGGAAAGGCAGGGGGCGGGGGGAAAGAGCACATGAAGAAGAAAAGTGAGGAAAGGGTCAATTGGATTAAGACTGTGGACCTCGTTTTATATTCATATTAGAGATAGAGGGGTGAAGTGGGAAAACAGTTTCTTTTAATTTTTCCCCCTTTTCAGACTCTTCTCTACTATAGAAAATTTGACTGCTATAGCACACACTACATGGGATTGCCCTTGGGAGCAGTTCAGAAGCTACCACTAGTGTAACCTGTAGCAGCCAGATTATTGTCTCGTATTCACTTTGTACAGCATATATCACCAGCCTTCAACTAACTGAACTGGCTTCCAGTTCGGAAATGGGGGAAGCCAAAAAACAAACTCCCCAAGATCCATTGGAAACGGGGTGAGAAAAACCCAAAGCAACCAAACCCCCCCAAGACCCATCGGAAATGGGGGGGAGCCAAAAAACAAACAAACCCCCAAGACTCATCAGAAACGGGGAAAAACACTCCAAAAAGCAACACCCCCCAAAAACTCATCAGAAATGGGGGGAAAAAACAACATACAAACAACCCCCCCAAGACCCATCACAGCACAGAAACATAACCCCCTAGCCCAAAACCACGCTGCAAAAACACCCAGAACCGTTTTTAAAAAGCAGAAAACAGCACCTTATCTTACCAGGCAGCCCGAAGCCTCCCTGCAAACACACACACACGCTCGCTTGGAAGCAGAAGCGAGGTAGTCCCAAGCCTCCGATGAGGACCGACGCACACTCTCTAACCACTAGGGCGAAAGAGCTACAAAGAAGCAGCCTCATCGCCACCTACGGTTTGAATCACCCACCTTTTCCCCCTGCCTTTTTCTGTTCGTAAGAGGAAGCTCTGGTCGCAAGTAGAAGCCAAATTTTGCGTCCGGAGCTGATCGTAACTCGAAATGGTCATAAGTAGAGACGTTCGCAAGTCAAGGACCACTGTATCAGTATCCAGAATTTCAGATTATTACAAAATTTGAGATTGTTACTAGCTATACTTAAATAATGTATTACAGTACTCATTGCACAGAAAAAATGACAAGTAACTAGTTGTTCCAAACTCTGGACTTAAACCTTTCAGTGTGGTGGGAACACTCTCCGGTATGTGCCCTAAGAGGGTGGGAATTACGTTGAGTTTTAGAAAACTCTTAAAACATGTTTACTTACTTACAGCTTCTCTGGATGGGCACAAATTATATCTTATTTGTTGCTGTGTTTTTTAATTTTTTTATTTTTGAAGTCCTCTTCAAAGCTGTCTCATGCTGCCTTTATTTTGTATTGTATATGTCTTTGTATTGTATCATTTATGTCTTATACAAAGGGCTTCGCAGTTGGTACCGCTTAGTATTCTGGAGTGCCTGGCTTCAGGAGTTCTGAGTTCAAATCCTTATTGTGGTTCCAGGAGAGGGGCTAGCTGAAATCTCTCCCCCTCCCTCCCCCAGTCTGTGTGGCTGATGGGATTATGTGCCCTACCAACCTAGGCAGCCCCAGACAAGCTGTACCATAACCCCAGAACGCTATAAAGAGGACTAGCTGGGAAAACACTATAGCAAAGAGAAAGAGAAATTTAAATAAAAAGAGAAAAATCAAAAAGAGTAGGACCTAAGAATTGTACAGCCATACCTCTCCTAAAACACAGCAGGACAACAGTTCAAAAATTTGCTTTTTGAAACAGTTCAAAATTTTGCCTTTTGAAACAGTTCAAAAATTCGCTTTTTGAAACAGTTCAACAATTTGCTTTTTGAAACAGTTCAACAATTCGCTTTTCGCTTTCCCCTAAAGGACAAAGTCCGAAACCTCCATTGTGTTCAGCTTCCAAGCAAAGGCTTCAAGCATCCTTGAACGCCTCCAAATTGACAAGGGCGCCCCTCCATCTGTCAATCATTGCCCTTCCGGAAAATACCATAAAAACCTTTTAGGTTTCTCTCCAGGCCTTTGTCTCGGGTGGTCTCCGCTGGCCTTTGTCTGAAGCTTATCTCAGGACTTGGGTACTCCGAGGCCATCCTGTATGTGAATTTCACTGAATTATATACAATTATTATGCAAGAGAGCTTTTTCTGAGAAAATGTCTGCCTTGCTTTAAAAAAAAATGCAACTCCTTGTTCTCTCCTTCCTTTATTTCTAAAACGTCGTTTAAGAAAAATAGCCCATCTCAAAAAATAAATTAAAAAAAACCTCTCAGGAAGTGATTTAAGGCACAATCAAGACAGAAACAGCTTGTGTTTTGGACGGTTTGGTTTTGGGCCCAGTGCGAGCTATTTTCTGTTGACCAGACGTAGAAGGACGTACAGTGGTGCCTTGCATTACGACATTAACTCGTTCCAGCGAAATCGCTGTAGAACGAAAACGTTGTAAAGTGAAAATTAAAAAAGCTGTTGAAACGCATTAATGCGTTCCAATCGGCTAAGAACTCACCGTCCAGCGAAGATCCTCCATAGGGGCGGCCATTTTCGGGTGCCTGTGCAGCAAAAAATGGCTCCTAAACACAGCGGGGAGCCATTTTGAGCACCCGGAGGCCATTTTGAAAACCCGACGATCAGCTGTTTTGTCGGGGAAGCGAAAATCGGTTCCCAAACAGGGAACTGATCATCACGCAGCGAAATTCCCCCATTCAAAACATTGTTTTGCGATCGCTTTTGCGAACGCAAAAACCTCGTCGTAATGCAGATTTGTCATTAAACGGAGCGCCTGTCTTGCGAGGCACCACTGTATAGGCTACAGCGATTTCTGTATGCCCAGAAGGATCCCTTTAAGGGAAAACCCTCCCAGTGAAATGCCCCTTTCTAGTGAAATCAAGCATGATCCTTTATCACCATCTGATCGCACCCTTAGTGGTTTACATGCCCAAGACCGATTTCACCGAGGCACCTAATGTACCATCTGTGCTAAAAGTTATTGGAGAAAATTAAAGACCGCCTGCAGCCAAAGTCTGTTCCTTTCCTGCATACATAAATCTTACAGGTCTTGATTCCATGTTTCCTTATTTTTTAAAATTAGCTTGTTAAATATAATGGTCATTGATTTAAGGAGGTGCATGTTTTACCTTGCACATACAGGATATTCAGCCTTCTACGACTTCCCTGCTTTCTTTCACTTTCATATGCTTAGCCCCCAGCAGGCTCAGAGCCCCGAAAACGTTACCTTTTTGGACTAAAAAAACCCCCGAATTCCTTAGTGATTTGTTCCATACTGGCTGGAAGATTTGAAAACAAAAGATTTCCAGGCTTCGATGCATTCCCACGGAAACTTTTTCCCCGACAAACACAAGGTGGGACACATAACGCCATCCGTTGCGTGTAAGCACTGAAATACGTTCCCCTCTGTTCCCTGGGCTTCACTTACTCCCCAGTAGGCTTTGCAGCTCCCCCTGCTCTGCTCGGGTTGATTTATGTCCCTTAGGGTTTAAGTAATTCAGGCCAGTTTTCCAATTCCCCAAAAGCGCCATTAAAACCAAGAAAAAAGGGAGGTCAGACAGAAGAATCTCGAGTGCTTTTTTTGACCTGCAATGCGACTTTTCACAGCAACCACCGTGCCTGGAGAATATTGAGGGTTCCAGTCCCAGAAAAGAACTTTTGCAAACTCCAGAGGAGATTTTTCTCAAAATGCATAGAATAGATTGCTTGTCAGGCTCTGCTTTTCTGGCCTCCAAGGAAACCGGCAGGACCAGATGCTCCACATTTCACAGAGTGTTGCCCCGTACATTTTACACGCTCGTCCAGCTGTCCTTTTCCTATCTCCCACCTGCCACACCCCGCTGCGTTTCTCTCCATCTTGGGGAGCCATCTGCCTGGGCGGTGGAACCGAGGGAAACCGAGAAGGTTTGCGTCTGGAAGCCGCCACCTCTCAGCACTTGGCCCGAGATACGGTTACCCCTCGGAGCCCAGGCGAGACTCGGCTGTCGCCCGCAACAGATGGGTCCAGCTGTCCTCGGAGGCAATTCCCCCCCCACACACGAGGGACGCGCCCGCCAGCCAACAGTTGCATCGGCCGGAGCGCATCCCGTTCCCCAAACGTGTCCCCCGCCCCAGCCAGCTTGGAACACGGAGGGATCGTGCCGACAACAGACAAGATAGCACCATAACCAGCCAGACTCTGGAAAAAAAATGTGGATCAAAGCACAGAGAGAAATCAGAACTGCCGGAGCACTCAGTGGTTTCGGTCTCTGGCTTAGAGGTTGGGAGTTCGATTCCCCCACTGGGCCTCCTTGAAAGGGGCTGGAGTCGATGATCTAGAGAAGTCCCTTCCAGCTCTGCAGCTCTAAGAGGATGATGATCTAGAGAGGTCCCTTCCAGCTCTGCAGCTCTAAGAGGATGATTATGATTAAATCGTTAAGGGGAGAAGTCACTGATGCATCCTTTAAGGTCACAGTTCAACCAGGTATAGGACATTCCCCCTGTCCTGATCATGAGCCAGCTATCACGGCCTTTACTGCTTAACCCACAGTTGGGATACAAAAGGGGGGGCAGGAATCACCACAATAAATATGATATGTCATTATAGCCCCTGGCATCTATACCACAGGCGGCGGACCTATGGCATTCCAAGCATTGCCTCCTTCTTCAGGTTTGACATACGTGCGCCCCTCCGAAAGAGCCAGAAATACTAACCTCTGAGAAATCCCCATCTCTTCGGGTGCCCCGAGGGACCCAGTATATCCCCTCAGGGGGCAGGGGGCAAGGCCGAGCCGGGGGTGGCACCTCGTACACCTGGCGGGATGGGAGGAGAGAAAAAAAATCAGGCCGAGATGTCAGGTTTTCCTAGAGCAGGGGGGAGCTCCGCGTTGCTGGCGGATGCGAAAGAAAATCTGAATGGTTTGGATTTTCACTCTGACAAAAGCGAGCCGAGACAAGAAGCTGCGCCAGATCAAGATTCCCCCACCCCTTTTTAAATTCTTCCGCATTCTGCATCAGATTCAGCCACAGAAGTGGAGCGCACCAATATTGTACCGTCACCTTTGGAGCGCCGGAAGCCGCTCCTCGGACTGAGCCTCCACCCTTATACCTAGAAGGAGATCTCACTCCTTCATCCATAAAATATCCTGATCGAATACTACTACGAAACGCTGGACTCCCCAGCCTTGAATATACTATTTGAGCACAAAGCAGAACGTTCCAGAGTCGTACCACGGGTGACGCTGTGAGTGGAGGAACATCGCTCGTTTTTTTCCCCCTCACCTCCTGCTCTTCTCTCCTCCATCCCCGCCTTCGTCGCTCATCCTGGGGTGTTTTGGAAGCCGTCTCAACCAGGGCTACATCCTTCCTGGGCACCTGATAGACATCCGCTGGGGTGTGATTCTGCTGCAAGGTCGGCCCAGGGGAGCCTGGCTCCAGGAGGACCCGGACTCTGTTGGCTGGCACAATCCCCTGGTGCCCATGGAGGGAACACAGGTGCCACCCCTCGAGCCCCGGAGCCTCGGGTTGAAGCAAAACCATTAGGTCGCCCTTCCGGAAGGAAAGTTCGTCCGGACACTCGGCTGCATTGTCGTAAAGCGCACGGCACAGCTGAGCCTGCAGAAGCGGATGGGCGAGTAAGGGGGAGAAATTCATAAAACAAAGCATGACTTACACGGCTTTCTCCTTAAAATTTAAGCACGGGTCAGCCCTCTTCCAAATCACAAGCGAACCTTCCAGCTCTGCCGGACTACAAAGCCCATTGCCCCCAGCCTGCACTCAGCCAAATTTGGAAAGCCACCGGGCCTCGATCCCCTCTCTGTCTGGACTTAGATCTGAGGTTTGGTTTTCTCCCCCCCCAAAAAAAGGCAAGCCATGCAGCTGAGCTGGGACTACAAAGCCCATCAGCCCCAGCCATCAAAACCAGAGGATGGACAGCGGCAGCTGCCAGACCAGAGAAGTTTGAAATTCATGATGCATTTGAGCATATATAGAAAAGACTAAATACCTAAATGCATTCTGGTGTGACAGTTGATGAAGGAATTACCCCGTATTTTTCCGTGTATAAGACGCCCCCATGTATAAAACACTCCCCTTTTCTGATCCAAAATTAAGAAATCTAAGTGGGCCTTAGCAAATGTAGAGGGAAAGGGATCAAAGCGCTGCAGGATCGCATTGATCCCTGCTTTCTCCTCCTATTGTTTTTCTTCTCTCCTGAGCTTACTTCCGTGTATAAGACAACCCTCAATTTTTAGTCTAAAGATTTTAGACAAAAGTACAGTGGTGCCTCGCTTAACGAGCGCCTCGTATAGCGATGAATCTGCATAGCGATCCCTTTTCCGGGATCGCTAATGTGGAGGCATCGCGTCAGCCTCTATGGCTGAAACTCACATAGCGAAGATCGGTAAGCGTTTCACTTACCGACCTTCGCTCTGCGACCCACGGATCAGCTGTTCGGCAGGTCCAAAATGGCCGCCGGAACAGCCGAAATGGCCGCGCGCAGCGTTTTCGCACCCTCCCCTCGCTTACCGAGGGCGCAAAAATGGCTGCTGGCTATGGGAAGACTTCGTTAAACGGTGAGTTTTTCTGCCGATTTGGAAAGATGGCTTTTTTTGTTCCGTTTAACGAAGTATTCACATAACGAAGGTTAATCTGGAACGGATTAACCTCGCTATGCGAGGCACCACTGTATAGTCTTATACACAGGAAAATACAGTATACACACATGTGACTATTAGTACAAAACCTGGCGCAGCAGTGCCCCGGACACTGTTTCTGGTGCAAACAGACTTACATCCTCCTCCTTAGAATCCGAAATATTGCAGGTAAACAGCACCTACTTTTAGCTTCCACCCCACTCAAAACACCTCCATAAAGAAAACAGGTATCGATGCGTAAATAAATACTTTAGTGTACACCTTAGGCAAACGACAGGGGGATCTAAAGACGTTTTCGGAGACACCCAACCTAAGTTTAGAAAAATTTCTTTTTTTGGACTACAACTCCCAGACTCCCTTTAGCCAGAGCGTCCACTAGTCTGGCTGGGGATTTGGGGTCTTGTGGTTGCTCCGCAGTCCCTAAAGACAAATGGTTGAACCCAGATTTTCACCACCCTCAGAGCAGATGCACCGAAATCGTGGCTAATTTCAGCCCCTTTGATTTAAAATGGGTCTACTCTAAGTATGGCTAGATTGGGACCTTTTAACTTTACAGTGTGATCCTTTTATTTATTAATGTTAACTCTCCCTCGATCAACTTTGAGAAAGCATCGCCGGGAAGGGGGGGGGCAAGCATCAGAGTTCAATATCCATTCAACCATTCTGGCTGACAGGGGACTCCCCACCCCCACCCCCACCGGGCCTTTTACCCAGGCTAGATTTTTAAGGGGTCCATGACAATAAAATAATCACATTATAATATCATACAAATCGCGACCCCTGATAGGATACTGTTCCATGTTTAATATCAGAGAAGGAACATGGATGAATAATATTTAGCAAGTAGGGGTACAGGGGAATCACTATATTGGGTGTAGACCAAATTTCCATGGCCAAGAATGATCTCAGAGTAGTGCATATTCCCAGAAAATATCCAAGAAGCCAAACATGTGGTTTTCAGCTGTAGTTAGAGAAGATCTGTACAGATGAAAACTTTCTGTGTGTGTTTGTCCATGCATGCAAAATGACATAAAGTTGTAGCACACAGACTTTGGAACTCCCTGCCACTGGAGGCCAGCCTGGCCCCATCTTGGCTGTCCTTCTGCAAGCAGGGCCAAGACCTTTCTCTTCAGGCAGGCTTTCCCTCAATCACTGGCTTGCCTAAGTGGTGTTTTTTTTTAAATGGATAATCATACTTTGTTGCTTTAAATGTGTTTTCGATGTTGCTTATGTTTACTGTTTTATAGTGCAGTATTTGTTTGGCCTTTTTTTTTTAGTGTTTGTGTACTCGTTAAATAGTCTCGCTTGATGATCCAAGCTGCCCGGGGTCCCTTTTAAAGGAGAAAGGTGGAGTAAAAATCATTTTAAATAAATAAAAGTTAAAATCTCACTCTTAATTTAAACCGTGGAGAGGTTCTGGAGTATTACAAACAAGGGACACCTAAACCAAGAGTTAAGATAAATTTTAGAGAAAAACACCTCCCCACTGCCTTCCCCAACTAGCAACTCTTCATGGGCAATGGACTACAACACCCATATTCCCAACTAGCATGGATGGGAGCGATGGGTCTTACAGTCCAACCCACAGGATGGGAAAAAGTGGAGCAAACGTCGGGGAAATGAAAAACACCGTGGTTATTGACCGAAGATTTGCAAGGTACTTTTTTTGCTATCAATCACTGCCTTCTTCCTTTTATATGCAATTCCACCCCCCAAGATCATCCTTCTACCCTTAAAAATCTCAGTCAGAAAATGACCCTGCTCCCCAAGGAATCCTGAAAATTAAATCTTTTGCATAAGGTCTAAAAGAGCACCTGAATCCTGACTCAATGGTAGGCTTTGGCCGACACCAACGCTTCATTTTTTCTTTTTCCACCTCGTGGAAAATACTTACAGACATTTTGCTTTGTAAGAATGCAGCAGAAGTGTTCAGGGCAGAAGGAAGAGCTGAGAAGCCCAATTCCAGGGCCAAGAAATCATGGACTCCAATCCCACCTTTTCTACTCTTTTCGTGGGTTTCCAAAAAACACCAGCCTTTTCTTGAGAAGCATGACTTGTCTTTTGTGCACTTGATTGCTTTCCGAGAGACTTCCTGAGAAATGTGACAGCGGGTTTTTATAGCTTTCTTTAAAAATCCAGTCCTTTTGGGGTGGAAGACAGCTTCAAAAGGGGGACCTCTTCGGAAGACATGGGAAAAGTTCTGCTTCCTCGCAATATCCCAGCGGGAATGTTTTTTTCCGAGGGAATGCAAGCGGAGTTTCCTAAGCTTTTGCAAAAGTGTGGCTTTTCTTCAGGAGTCCAGTCAAGTTTTCAATTTGCAATTCACTTTTTTCCGCCCAGACGTTTTCAAAGTGAGGTCTCCTCGAAATCTCTCGGTCAGCAAAATGGTCCCAGAGAAGCCGTCTGGATAGGAGGCCGGATGGCTTCCCGGCAGCATGGATTGCAACAGAGGAGGCAAAAGCCCAACAAGTTGGAACAAGGATCCGCGTTGCAACCGCAGGGTAGGAGAGGGAGAGACATTTACAGAAGCCGCTCTCTCCAGTTTCTTTCCAAAAAAGCCCCAAACCACACGACCCGGCGCACACAGAAAATGAGCCAGAGGTTTTGCAACGTCATTAAATCCCAGAAACACTGAACTGTTCCCTTGGCTTGGGAAAGCAAAGGAGGTGGAAAGTCCCCATTGACAGAGAATTTATAGATCCACAGAGGTTAGCACATTTCCCCCGCTCAAAGCCAGAATAAAAGAGTCAATCCAGAGCAGGTTCTTAAAAAAAAAACCCCAGCAAATCAGGATTTTTTTTATGTGTTCCTGAGAATAGAGACCGTATCTAGCACAGAGAACAAGACTTTTGGTGAACTTTTCTCGCATCCCAGAGCAGTTCATTAAATGCTAAAGTTTGATTCAGTTCTTTCCTGAGATCCCAAAACGGTGCGCAGAAATCTAGTCCGCTTTGCAGAAAAGCTCCAAACCGCCATGAAATCTGCAATTGGAAAATGACAATTCCAACAATGTTATTTTTAAACAAACACACTTCTGAAATGGCAAAGCTCATTGACGTGACATTTATTGCAAATCAAGTTGCGTTTTTTAAAACATCCCTCTTCCTAGTACTCAGAAAGTATATAACGATTGGAAAGCGCGTGGAATGAAACACCCTAGTTTTGCAGTTTTCAAAAGCACAGGATACAGGCTCCTGTCCAGAAACACCCCAAAGCCTTTTACAAGTTTAAAAATAGTAAGATATTTTGCATCCACCTTCGTTTCCATAAGAACCACCCACCCTAATTCCCAACAAATAACTGATTTAAAATGCCACCAGCATTCAGAGAAAGTGAGCAAACATATTTAATTCAGGCCAGATCTAGATAAACCATTGATCTCAAACACAAAGTCCAACACCACACAGAAGTGTGTGTGACTACAATCTACCACGAAGCCCTGTGTTATTTCTCTGCCAGGAAGAAAGCACGTTTGCTGCTCAAGAAAGGCCAGCTTCGAAATCCAGAAAAAGTCCAGACGACAACTGGCCAATCTGGAACATTTCTCCCCTTTTCTCTCCCACCTCCCTTATTTGCTGCACGCAAACTCTAAGCAAGTTGTCTGGATAAACAGGTTCACATTTTCCATATTAACCAGAGGGAATCGGTTTCTCTTTCTAGAAATAAGCACAGCTTCCCTCTTCTGCGGGGTTTTAAATAAGGGGGCTGGCTATATAGATTTCCAGATGTTCTAGAGAGATGCCAAGCCCTTGCGAATACATAGATACCAATTCCTTAAAAAATCAAGAGAATTTTCTTTTTATATTAGTATTATTCTTGGCTCTTTCACAGAGAGATATATATATTTCTGCTGAGACAGGGCAGGCTTGGTTGGCTTCAGGTTTCTTAGGAATCCGGGGGGGGGGGGTTTTTCTTTAAATGGAAACCGGAGGCCCACACCCCCCCAAATTAAAGAGTTCCAAGCTTTTGCAGGCTGGCCAGCATCCTGGCTCCCAGTCAAGCCCATAATAGGCAGGTTTGCAGTCTCTCCTCTTCCCCCCCCCCAAAAAAAGAGTTATTCATCTCACTCAGGGGATGAAGAAG